TGTACCGGTTGAAACACGATTCCCGGCAAATTCTCATTAGACTCGCGATAGTGCGTTGTTGGACATGGACGAGAACAAAGTGCCACAACTTATCGAAGAAGTTCAACGTAGGCCAACCATCTGGTACAAGTCGCTGAACGAGCATCGATTCAAGGGTTTCGTCGGCACCGAGTGGGATAAAGTAGCAGCTAATATCCGTGTATAGAGTAAGTATACTTCTGTTTTTTCACCGTTATACTCTCACGCGCCCGCGATTGTCACGAGGTTATAATAGTGCGGTTTATGGAAATTCTCTTTCGTTATTACGACATCGAAACTCATTGAATTCGAAAAAATGTAGCTCCTCCTTTGTTGATTTCTCATGGCAGCACGTTAGATCTTTCTTTGTAATGAGGTCAACAAAGTAAAACGCGGTGTTGTGTACAGCTACAAAAACAAAGATCTATGGCAGCACAGTGGCTGTAAACTGGACTTCATGAGAGAACGATCGCTTGCACGAAATCGCGAGAAAAATTAGCATTTATGATAATTCGTCGTCGCCATCATTTAAAAGGATATTCGTCAAAACGCAAATTTCCGAAAGTTAAGCTCTTTCTTATTCGTAGTTGAGATTTACCCGCCCGTTTGCAATCGAACTCTCACGTACGCAATCGAGTAATACTCGTCGAAGCCGCGGTATTCCAGGCAATCGGGCCTTTAGGGTGAATGCAACTTAAGGCCCGGACTGCGTGATGTCTTGATGTTGAAATTTATAGATGGGGCTATTAATCGGCCATAGCAGTCCGCGAGGTTCAAATTATTGTTGGAAACTAATTTAAATAGTTCAGAAAATTAAAAACATACCAGAAATAGAAGAATAAAGAAAGTCTGGAATACAATGGACAAAGAGAACGAAAAACAGCATCGCAAGCGTGAGAAAAACCGTTACGGAAATAGTAAATGTCAAATACTTGAGTTTTGTTCTTATAATTTACAACCCTCCAAAATTCTCGTTGAGTAAACACTTTCCTCGAAAATCCAAAATTTAGAGAAGAAAATAAATTTAACGGTCACGGTCCCATGTCGTAAAATCTCAGTTCTGGTTATTTCGAAAGTTTCTCTGTTTCACGTGACCAACACGTATGGGCTCTCCTTTGTTCATTGTTTCGCTAGGCTGAGGGCCTGAGACCCTACGCGACGAAGTTTCACGACGTCACACGCTCCCTTTCTTTCCCTTTTTTCATTTCCCCGCTTTTCCTTGAGTTTCACTTTTCCCTCTCCCCTGGGCCAGGATTGCGCGCGCGACTTTTGGTCCAGTGGGGTTGCTGGACCTAACCCTTGGAGTTAAGTTTAAGTTTAAGTCAGTTCCATCGTGGAAATTGGTGGTGAAGCCTTCAGCTTCCAGCTTCTCTCTTCAAATAGTTTTTCAGTAGAGTTTTTCTAGAGTTTATTAAATTCTTTTTTTGTAGTGCAAAGTTTAAAGTCTGAAGTTGAAGTATTTTGAATAAAAGTGTTTGTGTGCTCTCTTAAGCACTTGTGTTGAATTTATTTCACAATTCAACCCTTCCAACCAAATATTCTGGGATTAAACAATTGGACTTCGATGGAGTGCTCATCAGAGCTTTGGCGGCAAACGAATCTACAGTCAAAAATGGGCGCTCTAAAATTTATTGGCGCTACTGTCCTCCTAGTTACTTCGGTAGGACATAACAACTGCACGGCTAGTAACAATTTTTGTGACTTTTACCCCCCCACGGTTTGCGGCCGACTCCGAAGCTCCATATCAAATTTGCACGGTCGGTAACAGAGAAAGTGTCAAAATGGGATAATTTATCAGAGCCGTATTGGGAACAGGAAATATCGTTGAGGGCGCTGTTTTTTTCCAATATGGCCGTCAAAGAGGTATACACACACGCGCTCACACAAGCCCCCATTTGCTTGTGTATCGTAGATGTGCACCCTTAACGCAGACATTCATAGAGGGCGTCTTGTTATTAAGCGTCCCCAATAGGGCTCCGTAGTGAGGGTGCCTAATTTTTCTCCATTTTTCAATGGGATGGATAGGCAAAAGATGAATATATCCAATGCCAAAACACTTTGTTTTGAAAGTCAACAGGCACCCCCTCAAACCCCCAAAAAAATTCGACTCATTTGGAGTAGGGCAAAGAGGTGGTAGAGGGTAGAAACCCTAAATTTTTCGATTTTTTTAGTAAAAAAAAAATTTTCACTCCAGGGGTAGGAAACCAACTTACATTTTTCAACTAAATAATATTCAGGCGCACCACCTCAAACTTCCCCCCCCC